GGGCGCCCGGGTCGTCCCGGAAGACCATGCTGTCGAGAAGACCCGGCTTGGTCACTTCGAGCTTGAGCTGGCCGGGTGGGGTGGGGGAAGGGTTGGGGTTCGGGGGCCTGTGGGGTGTTGGTGTAGGCGGCGCTTTCGGTGGCGGAGCGGCGGAGGCGCGGGAGGAGGATGGTGGTGCCGCGTTCGGCGAATTCGAATTCGTCGGCGGGGTTTGTTGTTGTTGTTGGGGGGGTGTTGAAGGTGGTGGCGAAGATCTTGGCGATGGTGGTGTGGGTGGTGGTGGCGGAGGAGGGGGAGAAGTGCTGCCGGGCTGGGTCGAGGTCGAGGGAGATGAAGTGTCGGCTGCCGTCTTCGACGCGGCAGGTCCGTAGGAATCCTGTGTGGAGTGCGTTCTCGGGGATGGGGCAGTCGATGGCTGAGCCGGTGGTTACCCACAGCAGGCCCTTGACGTTGAGGAGGAGGGATTTGATGGCTTCGAAGTAGCCGTCGTCGAGGTAGTTCTGCACGCCGTTCCCGTCGAGCCCGGAGAGGAAGATGGCCACTTTGTTCTCGACTTCGAGCGTGGCTAGGTCGGTTACGGAGGGTGTCACACCGGTGGTGTCGGCGATGGCGGACGCAAGACCCTCGAGCCAGCCCTCAGGGGGCGGCGCCGTCTGGTCGTACACGAGCGCCACCTGGTCGGGATACGCCGGCGGCGTCTCTGGGATGGCCGTCGACATAATGACGTTCATCATCTGGTGGTCCTCGTCCTCGCAGTCCCATACGCTGAGGTCAAGGCCCGTGAAGCCGGCACCCTTGAGGATAGGCTCCCACACGGCCAGCGGCATGTTGGGGCTGTACTTGCGCTCGGGCTCCTCGCTCAGCCACCACCCCGGCAGCGTGCCAAAGACCATGTGCACGTCGATGCTGTCCTTGGTCGTCTCGATCATCAGCAGCTTGCCGTCGTCCTTGAGCAGCTTGCGCACGTTGCGCATCGTCACGGCCATGTTCTTGGTGGCGTGGAGTACCTGAGCCGCGATGATCACGTCGTAGCTCCCCTCGATGATCCCCTGGGCCGCCGCGTCTTCTTCGACGTTCAGCGCCGTGTAGCTGATCAGGTCACCCCACTCGGCGAAGGGTTCTCGCGCGGCTTGGAAGAAGCCCGACGAGATATCCATGGAGTTGTAGTGCTCAAACCCGGCCGCGTTGACACCACCGTCGGTGAGCGTGCGGAAGGTGGTCCAGGACCGGCCCCGTGCAGCCGCCCGTACCGGCGCCGATCTCCAGGATGCGGAGGCGTGGGTTCTCGCGGGCAAGGGCGCCCACCACCTCGGCCAGCTGGGCGGTCGAGGCCTTGAACCGCAGCATGTGTTGATAGAACTTGTACAACAGCCCGCCCTCGAGCATGAGCTCCAGCGGCGCGACCTCCCTGCGCAGAATCTCGAGGAGACGGCGCCCAACACGGACGGTGAGGGCCCCGCTCGTGCTTGCCGCCGCCACGCTGTCCAAGAAAGCCGACTTCTCATCGGCTGGGGTGTTCGCCCATTCCGCACTGCCGGGCGCGAGCTCTCCTGCTGCGGCCCGCTCCAGTTGCAGCTGCATCCACGCCCACAGGGACTGGTGGTGCCGCTCCAGGTTGGCGATGTCATCCTCAGTCAACTGCGCCGCCGCGTCGGCGATGTGGTAGTACCCCGCGCGGGTGAGGTCCTGCGCGACGACCTTCTCAACGGGGTCGGCTGGGCGCTTCAGACGCTCGGCCCACTGGGTGTGGGCGTCGTTGAGGGCGACGCTGGGCTCCCACTTGATGAAGGAGCAGATCTTGGAGGCAGCTGCCAGAGCCGCGTCTGCCTCACTGCTGTCACCGTCACTGCCGCTGCCTGTCCCACCGACGGTGGTGAAACCCATGGTGTCGACTTCGATCAGGGGCTTGGTCTGTCCGGGCTCGAGGACGGCCAGGCCAACCTCGAAACCCAAGCGGTGACGTTGGATTACACGGGAGAAGGCCTCGAACCGGTGCCCCGGCTGGGAGCTGATGGCGGAAGAAACGTAGAGCGACTTGATGGACGTCGGTAGTGCGGCGCCCACGGCCTCGCGGGACTCGGGGGAGAGAGCGGTGTAGGCGGCTTGGAAGACGTTGTCGAGCGTGATGGGGTGGATGACATGCGGTTGTTGATGCTGGCATGGCATCAGCGCCGCCGAGTCGCAGATTTCGAGGGTTGACTTGGATTCCTCCCCTCCCCTGCGGATGTCGAGGAGTTTCCTGAAGGACGGGCCATGCTTGACGCCCACGGCATGCAGCACATCGTATAGGGTCTTGGGGTTCATGGGCTTGTGATAGGCGGCGTCGTCGAAGTTGATGTTGGCTGTCGATCTCAAGACAGGGTGCGGAGTGGTTGTCTTCTTGACCGCGATAGTGCCCCTTGGCCATCTCGGACCAGGCTTCCCTCCGCCACAGACGGGGCCGAGTAGATACGGAACACGCGCTTGCCTTGTGCCAGCCTCTTCTCGCTGGGCGCTTCGAGGAACAGTTGCACCTCCACGCCCTTCTCGCTCTCCGGGATGACCAGCGCCTTGAGGATCTCGACATCGCCGAGCAGGTATCCAGAGATGCTTCCGGCCTCGGAGCTGTGGAGCTGGCGCACCGCCTCGATAGCCATGGCGATGAACCCGGCCGCCGGATACACGGCATCCCCCTGCACGACGTGGTCGCGGACCCACGGCAGCTCCCCAGTACGGATGAGGTGCTTCCAGATGGGCGAGCCGTCGCTTGCTCCCGCCAGCCGCGCCCCCAGCAGGTCATGCAGCGGGTACGGCCGGAACCTATGTTCATAGCTCTCGCGGGGTTCGTGCCAGAACCGCTGGCTGTGGTTCCAGGGGTAGGACGGGAGACCGGCCAGTGCCCGGAGCCCCTCCTGTCCGCGAGGGGCGTTGAGCCGCAGGGTATCGACCGGGTAGCCCCTCGACACGAGAGCCCCGGCCAAGGTCTGGAAAGTGCGCACCGCATCGGTGCCGCGCTCGAGACAGGAGCCGTACCCAATGTTAAACGTCTTGAGCGCCGGCACGCCTCTCAAAATCTGGCGGATGGGGCCGGCAAGGGCGCTGTGAGGACCAACCTCAACCACCATGTCGACCTGCTGTTGGCCCCCCGCCGCCACCATGGCCTGGAACGACTGCGCGAAGAGCACCGGCTGCGTCATGTTTTCCACCCAGTGTCCCGGACCGAGCGTGTTGGCATCCTCAACCACCTCGCCAGTCACGGGAGAGAAGAAACGCACACCAGCGCGAATGCCCGCTCCCCCTCCGTATCCATGTGCTCCTCCAGCGCCGCCCGATACTGCTCCTCCAACGGAAGCATATGATGCGAGTGATACGCCGCCTGGACCCTCAACCTACGCGCAAAGATACGCTTCTGAGCAAACACCGCCTCGAGCGCCTCAATCCCACTTACATCCCCCGACAGCGTCACGCTCGCGGGACTATTCACACACGCCACCACCACCCTCCCTACCCTTTCTTCCTCCACCCTCCTCAAATACCCCCCCACCTCCTCCACCATCAACCCCACCGCCATCATGGTCCCCATCCCCCCCTCACCCATCTTCCCCAACCGCACGGCGTTCACAATCCCCCTAAAATACGTACACACCCTTCCCTCTCTTAGCGTTCACCGCGGCCAAGCCAACATAACGCGGCCGGCCACCTACCCGCTCGAAATGCCCCGTCACGGCGGCCAACCTCCACCCCGAACAAAACCGCAACAGCTCCAACCAGCGCCAGCTGCACCGCGCAGCACACCGGCATGCTCACCCCGACCTCGTGCATCCGCGACGACGCCTCGTCCCGCTCCAGCTCGTCGACGACGGACCAGGTGCTGCCGAAGAGATTGCAGAGCCCGGTCGCATTCCGCGAGGGTTTGGGCGTAGATGGGGTAGGCGGCCGCGAGGGAGCGGCCCATCGCGTGCCATTGCGCGCCTTGGCCTGTGAAGACGAGGCCGATGCGCGGGGGGGTGCTGGTAGAGGGGGTGGTGGGGGGGTTGGTGGTGGTGGTGGTGTCGCTGAGGGCGGTGAGGAGCTCGGTGGTGGTGGCGGCTGAGGTGGTCCAGGTCCAGGGGAAGCGGGTGCGGCGCTCGGCGAGCGTGTAGGCGAGGTGGGGGAGGGAGATGTCCCGGTGTTGGTCGAGGTGGTGGTGTAGGTTGGCGGCGACTTTGGCCACGCCTGCTTTGTCGCGCGCGCTGAGGATGAAGAGGTGGCGGCCGGGGGTGGTGGTGGTAGTGGTGGTGAGGGAGGATGTGGGCGGGAGGCGGCCGGCGGCTTCTTCCAGGATTATGTGCGTGTTGGTGCCGCCATAGCCGAAGTTGTTGAGGGAGGCGCGCCGGATGCCGGACGGCGTCTCCCATGGTTCGAGGGTGGTAGGGACCTGGTGGATTGTTGGTTGGGTGGTTAGCCGCCGCACTGTAAACAACAACATCCCCTGAACCCCTGAGCCCTTGGGTGGGCTGAGGCATACCGTGATTGGCAACGCCGCCATGTCGACCTCCGGGGTGGCCCTCTGGAAGTTGAGACTGGCCGGGATCTGTCGGTGCTCCAGCGACAGGACCATCTTGATCAGCCCCGCCAGGCCCGACGCCGCTTCCGTGTGGCCCAGGTTGGTTTTGACCGAAGCCACGTACAGCGGCGGCATGCCGGCAGCCGCCCTGTGACGGCCGAGCGCCTCGCCAATGGCCCTCGCCTCGGCCGGGTCGCCGACCTTGGTGCCGGTCCCGTGCGCCTCCACCACCGACGTCTCGAGCGGGTCCAACCCTGCTATCCTGTAACAGTGCTCGATCAGGCGGCTCTGTGCGTGCTCGCAAGGGGCCGTGATGGTCGGCGTGCGGCCGTCCTGGTTGACGGCCGACTCGCGCACGATGGCGCGGATGGGGTCGCCGTCGCGGAGCGCGTCCGACAGCCGCTTAACCACAACCGCAGCGATGCCCTCGCCCCGGCCGTAGCCCTGTGCGCGGTGGTCGAACGCGTAGCACTTGCCTTCCGGCCCGCATGTCTGGATCGCCGACAGGTTTGTGAAGGCGTCCGGGTTCAGGTTTAGGGCTGCGCCCCCGACGATGGCGCAGTCCGACTCGCCCGCTCGCAGGCTTTGGCACGCCAGGTGCAGGCCCATCAGGGATGTTGAGCAGCCCGTGTCGACGGCTGTGCTGGGACCCCGGAGGTCGAAGAAGTGGGAGATGCGGTTGGCCAGCATGGCGGCGTAGTTGCCCGTCACAAACCCGCGCGCCGCGTGTAGGGAGTCGCGCACCTGCAGGTCGTGGTAGTCTTTTGTGAAGGCGCCGGTGTAGACGGATGTGTTGGAGCCGACCGCTTTGGAGAGAGTGATGCCGGCACTCTCGAGAGCCTCGAATGTCACTTCGAGCTGCATCCGGATCTGGGGATCCATGGCCTACTTCGGGGTCAGAATAGGGGGTTTCGACGGTAAGTATGGCGCGGGGAAGGACGTACGGCGGCCGCGTCGGCGGTGAGGTTGAAGAAGGAGCAGTCAAACACTCCTGGGTCCTGGTCTATGAAGAACCCCCCTTGCATGGACATCTATTGTTCGTGTGTCAGCAGTGCTGTGATCTAACCATATCACCCCTCCTCCCCCAGCATGGTCGACTAATACTCACAGTTGTTAACCTCTGGTTATCGGGGTGGTAGAAGGCCTTCTGGTTGAACCGGTTACTGGGTACCTCGGACCAAGCATCGCGGCCGGAGGATACCAAGTCCCAGAGCTTGTCCGGGCTGGTGATGCCACCGGCGAAGCGGCATGCCATGCCCACGACGGCCAATGGCTCTGTCTTTGGTTTTTGGACGCCATTGACGCCGTTGACGCCGTCGACACTGTGGACACCGTTGATACCGTTGACATCGTTAACTCCGTTGATGTGTGGAGTAGTAGGGCTCACGCCGTTGGCGGTTTCGGCAGGGCTCATGTTGAATTGGTCAAGTAAATACCACACCCAGTCCTAATACCAGTAGCAGCTGAATCTCTTGCGAGTTATGGAAGAAGGGAAGTGTTGTTTGCGGTGATGATAGTCCAAGATATACCATCCCCCTTCTTTGTTCTTTGTTCCTTGGGATGGGTGACACAACATAATGCGAGCCACAACCCGGGTCCCGAAAGTCAGAACAGGTGCGTGGGGCAGCACAACGGTGACAGGCATTCGGTAAAGCATGGGAGAAAATTGGCCACTTGGCTCGGTTGCTATTGATGCCGTTGGGCGGGCTGCCGTTCCATTGCAGGGGCGGTTCGCAGGCCGATCCTACAGTCTTCCTACCATCGCATTGAATCGAGGAACCCCAAACCGGTGTCCTTCCCTGACATGCAGCAGCTGCAGCAAATCCGGAGCTTCCGGTGTCGGGTAGACCGCGGACCAGCCTTGGGACTAGACCTTGAAGGGCAAGGTCAAAGACAGAACGGAAGAAACAGACATGATGACCACACCTTACCCCCCCCCCGTACAAGTGGTCGCCAATCCCGCCAAGAGCATCTCCACCAGGGCCGGCCGGGGTCTGCGTGCGTCCTCTCCAACGGCGTCGAAGGGATAAGTGGCACTTCCCTTCGGATTTCCCCAGTGGCACTCCCTTTGAGGGCCCCAAGAGGAGAAGCATTCAACCGCTAGAGATATCCGATTCGCCGGCTACGTCACCCTCGGATCCGAAACCATCCACGAGAGAGGAAGCTGGCAAGCAGGAATGCTTGAACGCCGAGACCAATATAGGTGGGGGTCAACCACCAACGGCCGAACCAACATGTCGGACTAGCAGGCCTGTTTCCTGCACGCAAGTACGAAACCGAGACCAAAAAAACAAGACTACTGCGGGCTCACGCCACCTGTCCCCTATCCCATGCGACCAGCGAATGATCCACGGCCTATCCCGCGGGACGACCCGGCGGCCGTGTGATCATATGATGCTCACAAAAACGGCTTCAACTCCGCCAACGTCCACTCCCACAGCCGGCCCGCCAACACAGGATCCCTACTAGCCCTGCTCTGCAGCTCGGAAAGCGCCCCAACGGGCTCGTAGAACCCACCGCCCACCACCCCATCCCCATCCCCATCCCCATCCCCATCATCCCGGGGCGCGGCCACCACCGCCGCCCACAACAAGTTATGCGCCCCTTCCCCGACCTTCTTGACCCTACCGACATTGGCCGCGTAAACGAGCAGCTTGTCGGCGAGGCCAAAGGCGGCGACGCTGGGCGTGGCGACCACGCCGGGGGTCACGCTAAAGGAGAGCACGGATGGGTGCCGCGCCGAAAGCTCTCGCGCCCACAGCAGGTTGGCCAGCTTGCTCTGCCCGTACCGCAGCCACCGCCCGCCCACCCCCAGCTCCTGCGTCGTCTTGAGCTGCTCGAACACGATGCCCCCCGCCGGTGCGCCGCTCTTCCAGGCTACGCTGCTCACCATCACGATGCGCGCGCCGTTGCTGGTGCGGCTTCCTGCGACGCTCTCTCCGCCCTCTCCTCCTTCTCTTCCTCCTCCTCCTCCCGCTGCTGCTGATGTTTTCTCGAGCAAGGGGAGCAGCTTCAAAGTGAGGAGGGCATGGCCCAGGTGGTTGGTGGCGATGTGGATCTCGTAGCCGTCAGGGGAGAGGGCGGCGGGCTGGGCCATGATGCCGGCGTTGCAGACTAGCACGTCGAGGCGGTCGACGAGGGCCAGGACTTTATCAGCGGCGGCCTTGACCGAGGCGAGGCTGGCGAGGTCGCACTCGATGAAGGTCACCACGACGGCGTCAGAATTGGCTCCCGCGGCAGAGCGCGCGCTGGCGATGGTGGCCTCGGCGGACTCGGCGTTGCGCCCCGTGAAGATGAGGTGCGCTGGGTTGTGCCGCGCCAGCTCGATGATGGCTGCGGCGCCTATGCCGGCGGTGCCTGGTGGGTATGGTTTGAGTGTCGATCTCCAGGTAAGTACCTAATAAAGTAAGATATGTATGTACATACCTCCTGTGATGAGTATCACTTTGCCTGCGAGATCCGGCACATCCTTCTTGGGATCGAAGTTTTTGATACCCGGCATGTTGGCTCAATTGATGACTGCCACGTTCACTCCGGGCCGCTAGCAATTAAGGAGCCGAGTACTATACGGTACCGCAGATTGACGATTGTGGTTGTGGTGGTTTTCCGCGTCTGGTAGGTAATATGGCGAGCGAAGACGTCAGGTCAGCCCTCGGCCTTGGAAATTTCAATAATTAACGACGTTATCGTATTGGCGCATTCGCAAGCCACGTTTGCCGAATCTGGTAAATTAAACTAACGATTGGCTTGGGTGAAAACCAAATTCTCGGGTGCGCGTTACAATGACGACCTCACACGGCAGCCAATCTCACCGGCAGAGAAACAAGAGGGTGTCACCATTCACACATCAGCATATGTTGGAGTGAAGCTTTCGCTTGCGAATTTGTGATTTGATTTGCGTTGAACGGGAAGAGTCGTTTGGAGAGTTTAGGGTCGCTGTCGCCACACGGCCTTCCATGCCGGCTGCGAGCAATGTCTCGCTTTTCCACGTGGGATTTGGCTCGGCTGCGACGTCGTGCTTGGAGCTACCTGCAAAAATTATGTCGGCGCTCCAAAGCCCGGCTTGCCTTGGTACCCCCAGCATACACCTCCCCGAAGTTTGTGGGCAAAGTAGCATCTGGCCTGCACCCGTCATCAAAATCACGAGTCTCCTCCAAGAGGCGTGAGACTGACTTAGACAATTGTGAGGAGCTGTTGTGTGACGGGTTTGATGTGATGTGACCGAAGTGATACTACCGCTGAGACAGGAGAAGTGCGAGGTGTCCGAGACAAATATATTTGTGAGAAAGTCAAGCCTCTTTTGTTTTGTAAATGCGCCTCGCGTCGGTGATGTGTCTCATAGAACAATGTGCGCCGTCGACCGAAACACACGAGGAAACACTTGCTTCCCCCTCGGTCTTTGTTCTCGCCGCTGAACATCATGCACCACCATCCCGGCGGGCAAATACACTCCCTAGCTAACCCAACAAAAGTTCCCGATCTGCGGACAGGAGGACGACGGGAAGAGATCAATTAGTTGAGTGAGTCATTCACAGCTTGCGTATTGCTTGCATGTGCATCATCCACCTGAAACGAAACGAACTTTTGGTTGGGTGGTGGTGGTGTGTGGCTTCCTGTTCTGGAAACTTGTCGGTTGAAACGCTGGCACCACGGGAGGTCGCGAGGGAAACAAGGAAACACATGGAAACAAACTGCCGGATGCGGGAATTTCCCCTCACCTCCATCCCACTTGCCGATCAAGAGAAAAGTTCTTCGCCTGCATCTTAGACCCGACGCCAACGAGGAAGCTGCAGATGAGAGTCATGCAATCGGGACGTTGAGAGAGGCAAAAGGCGGTGACAGCCAATCGACGGACCGAATCGCGAACTTGACAGGTGAGAGTCGGTGAGAGCCCGACTTTGCGCGAGTCAGATTGGCTGGGTGAGGGGCGCGACTTGCATGGCGACGACAGGGGAAAAACCACGAATCGGGAAGAGAGGGTCCGAACCGATCCACGACTGCACGTGGTTGCGCGTGCAGGTGGATCTTGGTCTTGGCTTGATCGCGACACAGTCGCGCCAGGTCTCACCTCGGTAAAGCGGAAGAATGGGGTCTGACCGAGGGCTCACCTTGGCCCCGTCGCACGATGTTTAAGCGCCCGGTTAACGAGCAGAATGAGGCGGTGCAACCAGCGCTGACGCGGTCGGCTCGGAACGAAGGTCTCTGCAAACGCAACCTGGGGTATCCCGAAGCGGGCCCAGGACCAGGCTGAGCTGTGAATTTCAGCAGCCGCCCGTCTACGAATATACTCCTTCCTCTCAATGTAACAATCGGATGACGGCCGCCTCCTTGGTCAGTCAAGATTGTTAAATCGCGGCTAAGTTTTGTTAAGCTTTCCCCCCTGTTGCGCACGGGTCATCTTAACAGGGGAGGCTGGTATGGTAACATTTCGCCTCTCCCAAGCGCCCGCGGTTAGTTGGGCGGCTACCAAATTGGGAATTTGAATTCCACAGCCGCCCAACCATGGGCTCCCTCCGGCACTCATCAAACAACAGCAATCTCAGTAGCCGCTTTCAAGCAGGTCATCAAGCCTGTACGTCAGCCCTAAGACAGGATCCCTTTAACTAGTTTCCGAGCGGACGGCGCCCGGATAAGATCTCGATCGGCGGATGCTGGTGTTGACGGCTCGCCCAAAAATAACTTTAGGGTTACTTGAGCATCTTCATGGATTCTCGGTCCGAGAGAGCTGGACTCGGCGGGTAGGTACCTAGCCTGGGAAATGAGGCCGGCGAAACTCCCGGAACGACTCTTCCACGCAGAGCTGCCCAAACGCCGGGATCGGAAAGGGGGAAATGCCCAATGGATGCCCGTGAAAGACACCTGACGAACTTCATTCGCGGGGAGCACTCGGCATATTCGATGCCAAAGTAGCCATTGTGACCTTGGATATCTTCCTGCCCAAACCGTCCATCTTCAAGCGTGGGGTCGCTGCCCGGCACTCTGGGTAAAGCCACAGTCGTGGCTGCTCTGCTGTCCGCCCCACCGTCACGCCCCGCGATTCACGCCCACGTCGACGGCGCGGGGAGCGTGGCCCTCGTCGCCAAAAGAGCCGCGACGGGAAGCCAAGACGCGGCAGAAGCGCGCCCTGCTTCTTGAGCTTCTTATTGGCGCCCGGTCGCTCGTGGGGTGGAGTCGGACAGCGACAAGCCCGCTAATGCAGTGCTTGCCAGGTGTCGAAAGATGACTCACGAGACGCCTGCGGGCGGCTTGCATGAACAAAGTGTCGAACCAATCAGATATCCAGAATGCACCTCAACCTCTCTTCTTTGCAACGCTCCCACATTGCTTCCTCGTTCGTTCGATTTTTCCAAGTGGTGAGCCAGTTGTGGGGGACGGGATGCATCGAAGAAAAATGAAGCTTGGGCCAGCGCAACTTGCAGGTCAAGATCAGTCCCTTTCTGCAGAATTGGGCAGGAACTGCTCACCGACAATATTCCCCATTTTCTCTCTCGACTTGGCACCCAGAAAGCAACTTGCGCACAATCTTCGTGAGGAACGCCGTTTGTGAACCATCAACCGCTGGCCCAAGCGGTAGCCATGAAGTTCGTCTGATATCCCCGAGCCGCCGACCGCAGCGGCAAGGTACGTACCCGTCTTTGTGCGCGGCCTCAGCGTCTCAATGAGCTCGTCTACCCAAGAGAACGTTTCTGTGTGGCTGCAATATCCGCCCTTCACCCCACAAACTAGCAAGCTCGACTCCGTGTTTCAGGATTTATTTTCATCGAATGGCAAATTGCGGTTTTTTAAGGCTACACAACTGCAGCTCTGGTAGGACGGACGGTACGTACCTGATCGTCCCCGTCCCATCTAGGCCAGATGTAACCTTGGTTCCTGGCGCGGGATCATGGTTCCACTCCGCGCTTCTTTCTTCCTCTTCGCGGTCCGCGCTATTCTGTGCGGGGTTGTCACGGTCCACGGTCCACGGTCCACGATTCAACGCAAGGATCCACACCACCTTTACGACTAACATGCCCTGTCACTGGCCTGTCATGATTCCTTCTCAGACCGCCGCGTCCAGTGCCCGTACCGCGAGTCGGCTCATGCATCATGGGCCCGCCCCGAAGCGGCCATCTGTGGCCTATGATTCCGGCCTTGATCTGCCGCGAGGATAAGTACGACCTCCCTTCCCCCCCTCCTCGTCGCTTTTGTTTGTTCATCCTCAGACATCCATTCCACTTCCCCCCCGTCCCCTAGATTCTTGGACTTGTCTGGAGGCTTGGTCGATATCCTCGGACCACCTCGTTTCCTTCTCCCTCTTCTTCTTTCAAACACTTACACCAACGGAGCCGGTCTCCCCAAACTCGTCTCTCCATGGAGCCCTTTCTCGCACAGTACACTAATTTTAATATGCTGGGTGTGTGTCCACACGGCACACCCAGACCAGTCGCCAACATGTCCACGTGAGTTACTCGTGTTAAATGACATGACCTCTTCGAGCAGACCCTAACGAAACAACAACCAGTCTGGCAGCGGATGTCACTTATGACTTCACCTTCCCATCATGCGACCCCACTACCCCCCCGAGCTTCACCTTTGACCCCTCACTGCTCGAGATTCCCTACAACCCCGGCCATGCCCGCTCCAGCTCGCATGGATCCGTCTACTCCTTCGAGTCGTCGCCCTCCGACTCGCTCACTGCCCCCAGCACCCGCCGGACCACCCCGGCGCGGTCTCCCATCCGGACCCATGGTCCCCTCCTCCTGCCCAAGATCCGGAGTCAAGACCAGGCCATGATCCCCTCCGCAGTTGCTACACCCGGCCGACCAAGCGGGTGAGGACCTCCCCGGCGCCCACCCTGCAGAACAAGAGTGCCTACCGCCCGACACACGCTCGCAGCCAGACCAACCCGGAGACCATCTCGTACTCGGCTGCTCTCACCTTCGCCGAGGACAGCAACCCGGCTCCTCTCCTCTGCTCCCCCGTCAGCTTCACCCGCGAGTCGTCAGTGATGGACTCCCGCCGCGCATCATCATGCAGTCTTGACAATGTCACGGTCGACAACTACTTCCAGGCCTACCAAATGCCCACCTACATGCCGGCCCGCGCCAGCAGCAGCCCCACTCCCCCGCCTCAACCCCAGGCTCTCTCCCAACCAGAGCCGTTCCTCTACCAGCAGTACATGCCGCGCGGCCCCTCGCCGCTGGCCGCTGCCGCGCCCATCACCCCTGAGGTGACCCCATCCACCACCCTCTACTCCTACCTCACGGCACCCAACCGGGCCCCGTCACTTGTCCGCAACCTCTCCTTCCCCCTCCGAGATCCCAACACCAAGCACTTCTGGTGGGACGTCCGTCAGGTCCGCCCCTGGACCGACTTCACCGCCTCCTCCATCCTCTCTATGCCCGGCGCCGCCGGGTGCCTGTCCACCCCCGTCTCCTCTGCTCTCCTCCCGACCCCGATCACCAGCCAGCGTCACCCAGAGACCGAAGCCGCCCTCCACTCCATCTACGCGGCGCACTACCTCCCCAAGCTCAATAATGCGCTCGCCCTCTGCTCGCAGCGTCCTCTCAAGCTCTCCGTCGCACCCACCAAGCCCGCCGCCGCCTCCAAGGCGAACAACCTCGGCATGACCACGGACTGCATGTTCGTCGCCAGCGCCGCGGGCGAGTCGTCCTT